TATCTATTAATTAAAGTTTTTATGATGTTGCTTTGAAAAAAAAAATGTTTGTAATTTCAAATTATCCAAAAGTTAATTGGTATTTTTAGCATCCACATCTGATTTACCCCATTTTTCAAATATACTGATGCACAGTACTCCTGAAATAACGAGTTAGTTTTCTCGTTATAACGACTTAGTTATCTCGTTATAACGAGTTAATTATCTCGTTATAACGAATAAGTTATCTCGTTATAACGAGTTAATTATCTCGTTATAACGAATTAGTTATCTCGTTATAACGAGTTAATTATCTCGTTATAACGAATTAGTTATCTTGTTATAACGAAATATTTATCTCGTTATAACGAGTTAATTATCTCGTTATAACGAGTTATTTATTTTGTTATAACGAATTAGTTATCTCATAATAAAGAGTTGATTATCTCGTTATTACGAGTTAGTTTTCTCGTTATAACGAGTTGGTTTTCTCGTTATATCGAAATAATAAGTCGCCCCTTTATTTCCAAATTAATATCAATATATAGTAATAAAAAATGGCTGTAGGTTTAATGCCATGGAATTTTATTTGATAATTATCAGTCAAAACTTACTTTTAAATTGATAAAGAGATGCAAATATAATTTGCAATATGATAAAAATTATTAATAATAATCTTCTGTCTTGCGCTCAATAATCACAATTTTATAAAAATATCAATATTTTAATCGAACACATTTACACATTTAAACGTGGACGTCTCTAAGGACACAAAATCAAAAAAAAAAAAAAAAAAAAAAAAAACCCAAAAAAAAAAAAAAAAAAAAAAAAAAAAACTGCGAAATGTAACTGCTTCAAAGTTTGGCAATTTATGTATGACAACTTTTCCGATAAGAAATTTCAGAAAGGGGTCATGGAGAGATCAGCAATTAGATCATGGGCCCGCTACTATCCTCTCATAACAAAACATCACGAGGCAGCCAAAAGTGTCCGTATACTCGTACATGTTCTCGTAATTATCTTCGGTCTTTTAAGTGAAACAATACAAATCAACTGGCATTAAGTACTTTAAAGAGCTTAGAGCTAGAACCCATGTGGTGCAGAGATGGGAAATGAATTCATAAATTTTACTAATATGTGTTCACCTGTATTTGAGGATGGTGTCATATTTGGGGTTCTTACGTCAACTGACAGACCTAAGAACAAAGTGTATGTGGCATGTATACGTAATAGTAAAACAGCCAATGAAATGTACTTTTATATCCAAGACCATGAATACCCTCTGAGCAAAAAATACCCCGTTTGTCAGAAAACGACATTCTCATTCTCATTTTATTCTATTCTTGAGAATAATTCTTTTGCACATTTTTGAAATTAATCTTTTAGAATTTTATTTTATTCAAACACTCTTATATATTTTGGACGAATCTTATGAACATTTGTATAAAAGGCATTTGTATAAAAAGTGTAATGATTTGTTCTAATTATATTTCAGAACGTTTTATTATCAATCTAAACGATCACATTGAGTTTATCAATTTGGATTCAAAAAACCAACAAAAGTTTTATCATTTGCGTACAATAATTTAGATTAGGCAATGAACTCATGTGAAAACCAATTGTAATGAAAACAGTGTAAGATTTACGAATGAAATCGTTTATATGGATGTAACGAACAATACTTATGCTCAAAGTCCTTCGAACAAGGCAAATGTAGGCAACTTATATCTTTTAACTTTACTAGGTAACATATGACTGTTAAAACACCCCCTCCCAGCAATCCAATTACAACGTGCAAGACTGCCCCAAACAACAATTGCAGCTTAATTTCTACGATACAATAGGTTAATCAATATCGAGATCTGAGCGAAGGAATTATTTTTTGCCAAAATAAATGCCTGTTTTTCAGATGATTATGTTGAATTTTCTCTAACTTAGTGCATTGTAGTAACCCTTGGACTCCCGGTCCAATGACTATCATTTATACATATGATACGTAAGACCCCGTTGAGGCGTAGTGTATTTTTGCATCATCAACTCTCCATCACCTTAACTTTGAGATTTTCCAGCTAGAGCAATGGAAATGCGTACTTAAGCCAATTTCAAAAAGCCTTAGCATCGTTACGGGAAACGAGAGGATAATAATAATATTACCAAATGGTTTGTTAAACATGCAATTTTTTTTATTTCTGTTAAGCAGACTCAAATTTGACTTCCGGTTATGATATGAAAATCGTTCAACGTTAAATAATCGATATTTACCAAATTGAAGATATCCATAATTTTAAGATACAAAATTCTTCACTTTACATAATTATTTCCCCAAAAGTAGGGTGTTGCGTTTCTTTTGCGTTCCAGTATATTAAACGTTGGATCCAGCGTCTTTGAGAGGTGAGCATCCCCTGCCAATCGTCATACCAGCAGTGTACTCCCTTTGACGGTCCGGAAATAACGACAGAAAAACATCGACAAAGCAGTGTGTAAATAAAGGTCTTACAACAACCATTGAAAACATAATTAAGCATTTGAACGTTAAACGTAGGAAAATATGGCTTTAAGGATATACTCTTCTGATCATTTTACCCCAAGTGGGACTTCGTACTTAAACATGTCGTAAAATTCAAATTGTTAATTTATAATCAAGTCTTTGAAGTTTTAATGATTTACATGTTTAACAATATTTTTTTAAATAAAAAAATCTTTCTATGCTGTATTAATGACCAAGATGTGTTCCAAATTAAGATATTTACGACATAGGCCTAAGAAAGTCGACAAGTGGAATAGTCTCGTTCAGCCAGGCTCGGCTGTCTCCGTAAACTCCGACTAGCAGAGCCTCTGGCTGGTCGGAGATTTACGGAGACAGCCGAGGGTCTAGTTGAACGAGACTACAAGTGAAATCTACATGATCGACATGATTGAGAGGGGAGGAAGACAGGATCGCCCCTTTCAAATCGGCAGGAATGCAAAATGGCACTCCGTTAAAGAGCCAACCGACGGAAATTTTAAAACATTTAAAAAAAATTGCCGATATCTCAATTAGACCTTCAGGTACATTCTCGAAAGCGGTCCCCAAACATGCCAGTAAAGAGCACAGTTCTCGAAGTGTGTTGACGACCTTCCAGTAGCGAGACAAAAGCGAAAATGTAGGCTTAAAATGCTCTTAAACTTATCGAAAGTAGCAATGTTTATGCAGATTTATAGATACAAAAAGTTTCGAAAAACATAATATAGTGTCACATCGCAAACTGAAACATAGCATAAACATGTTACATACATGTACGGAACGTTAGGCCTAAGGAGTCTTCAGATGCGTGCAGACGACAGCATTCGTATTATCTTTTTTATTGCAACTTTAGCTCGTAGTATACGATAAATTTCCTTTGATATTGTAAATGCAGAATATCTATCCCTATATACATACATGTATCTGTCACAATAATCACAAATGCCTAACTTTAGAAGAGAGCAGGGTTTTAGAACCAATGAAATCAAATGGAAAAACCATGCAAATCAGATTGAGAAAGTGGGACTGGACTTGACTAATCCCAGGGAAGCCACCATCCAGCACAACAAACCAGGACCCAATCGATACCCGGTGGGCAACAGAAAGAGCTAGAGGACATCTAACAAACTATTATGAAGTTTTATATGTTAATTGATTTCTTTTGGTTATCACACTAATTTTGAATATTTGGTGAATAAAAACACATATTTTTTATGCCTAAATGCCTTGATTTATTTTCATTTAATGCTGAAAAGAAATAGGGGGTGGTGATATAAAAAATATCAAAACTTTCTTATATGTGCACTAACCCTTACTTTTCATGATATGAAAAGGAGCCTTGTTAATACCTAAAGAAACTGTACAACAATTTTCTTAAAAGGTTTAACTGTAAAAATATGTTTTTCTTTATTTTTTCGAGCAATTTTATAGTGAAAAATGTGCCTAATTTTGACACTGGGGGACAACATTTTTGGGCACAATTTATTTAATTGGTATTTATTTGCTCATAGTTTGCATGTGAAAAGTTAAATGCACGTTTTTTCGTGTATGAGAAGAAAACATCCTTAAATGATGAGACTACTGCTCCTGCTCTTTTGTGTAAAAGAAAGAAATAGACCAAATTTAAATAAAAATATCATTTTGCAAACAAACGTTATTTGGTTAGAAAACATTCAACAATAATCAAATCTCTAAGGAAATTCAAGATCTGCTTCATTGAATTATAGAAAAAATGAATAATTTTACGGAGAGGACGTTTAATAAGTTTTCAAAGTTTATGCCCAATATACAATGAAAGATGTCCGAAGCAAAATGTAGAACTCTTTTTTGAACAATTATTTCTACTTCTTTAACTCCGAAAAATAATAAATATTTATCGAGAAAATTAAAAGTGAAATATAAAAAACAGAGCCAACTCTCAAGTATTGTCAGTCATTGATCATTTATGTGTGCAGAGTTTTGCAAAATACATCTACTATTTATGAGTTCTGATTAAAAACAAAAAGGAGTTAACGTTTTACTTCATGTATTCAATTTGTTAAACTCTGTATACATCATTGAGCACGGGTAGTATCTAATGATGATGGTTTTGGTTTCTTGCGTTTCTTCTAGGAATTTACCATACCAATTAAAGTTTGATAGAGACATCTGATGCTTAATCTTGTTATTCTTAAGTGTCTAAGATTTACATACCCCAAACTTGTTTGCATAAATTCCTAGAGTTTAGTTCATAATCTTAAATTCTTAGAATTAAACTCTTAACACTGCATTGCTAATACTTGAACACCTAAATTAAATAGTGTTCTTGTTTATAAGAACAACAATTTTTGAGAACTATAAACTACATTTTTTTTTAATTTGCAAATGATTTCAATATCATTTTGTGAATCTTGACATGTAATAGATATTTCTTACCGATTCACAAAATTTTATCCATCCTTCAGAACATTGCAAATTATGTTTCTTTTTTTCTCAATAAAAATACGACGCAGATCAATCGAACTTTTTGATTTATTTTCAGAAATTGGGAATTGAAAAACAGGTGTCGTTACACACAGCATTGGCGAGATAATCCTCCGCCACAATAACCTCTCAGATATCTGCCACTACATCGATTCGAATTGTTTTGGCAATATCCACCTCTGTTCCAGCATTGTATATCCTTTCCTGTGAACAATAAACACGTAATTTAATAATTTTAGTCTCATTTAAAGCATTTTAAAGAAGAATTCGTAAGAAAAATGCAAAGGATAAATTATCTTAAAATGAGTGCATCATGGTTATTTGTCAAAAACATTAGTATATTTTCCAATGGAAATTCAAATAATAAGATATTTCTGAAATTGTGCTGCATTAGTTATCTTCGTTTTCTCACAGGGAATTTATTTTTAAATATATTGGTGTAGTTTACCAAGAACGCAACATTGTCTGTTGGTTGGTCCAGCACAATATCCCGCTTTATATTCAAAACAAGGTTCTGATGTGTATTGGCATCTCCCATTCATAGACCAGCATGGAGAGTCGTCCCCTAAAATAAAAAAAAACATAATTTTGGATAAATGTAAAATGACAATTTTTAATGTATGAAATAAAAAGCACTAACATTTTCATCACAAACCAAAAAATCTACAGATTTGTCTGTGCACAACCTCCTTATAATGTACCTTGTAATAAATAAATTCTATTCATAAGGTAGGTTTATTCAAGAAATAAATTAAATATTTCAAGATTCATGAGAACACTAACAAGGACTGTACACGTCGGTATATTTCAAAAATATATTTGGAAATGTAAATATTGAAAACAATCTATATAGATTTCCAAATAATTCTTCCCTCAGATTCTTTGTAAAGTATGAGACTGATCACTTTTACATGAACTACCATGAAAAAGCATTGATATCTTCAATGGTACGTCATATTACTCCACGTGGCGTCAAAACTATGGTAGAATTTTTTTTGGTTTATTAATGACATTTTTAGTGACGTTCTTTGTTTCAGTTCATCCGCAAAGTAATGTAAAAATTAGAAACGAATTAAATTTTAAGACTCAGGAGTTAAACGCTTCACATTTGCACATTTTAATGACATGCTCATTATTAAATATGCCGCCGTGAATCGTCACAGTTCATGTCCTAATGATCCTTCTAAAATTAAATTCATTACTGAAGTTCACAATGATAATGTTAAACTTACATTAATATACATAAATCTGTGGAAACCTTTAATTAAAATAGGGGACTATTATCCATTACTATGCTATTTCCATATAGAATATATTTTCAAAGAATCTTGAATATAATTCAATAATGTGTTTCTTTTAAAATGAGAATCCTTCTGCATCTGACAAAGAAGTAAAGAAATTAAGAATTAATGTACCTTACCTCTGATAAAAGAGAGAGGAGAAATCAAAAGAAAAACCATGAGAGCAATGGGTAAATGATTCATGGTCATTGCTGAAATGGAATAAAAGTGATAAAAGAAAAATTGTACCGAGCATATGTAGTCATGTTGCCACCTGGAATATGCACGATCTGCTATTTTGATTACCCTGATGATAATTCAAATGAGCACAGTTGTTCATCTTATAAAAATCTGCTCCATGCATTTCGCTGTATCTAAATAACGTCAAACCCTTTTTTTATTTGAAGTTCAGGATACGTGATTTGGTCTAACCTTGATTATATACTATTGTATATCAAAATTTCAATAAGCAAAGCGAAAGAAATATTTAAGGAATGAATTATTATTTTTTTTTATTTTATACGATATAAAATGGTTTGGGGCATTTTACGCTTTATAAACCGCGAAGCGGTTTATGAAAAAGCGTAAACTGTCCCAAACCATTTTATATCGTATAAAATAAAAAAAATAATAATTCATTCCTTATAATTTAATTTCCAACACTAAATGTTTCAAAATAACAAATTTTATTTCGTACAAATAATACAATTTTAAATTTAACCGCGCAAGAATACGTCATCCTAGTAACGAGGTGATCTAGAGATCGACGAGATTCAATCCACCCAATAGGAGGCCATTTTTTTTTTAAGTCAAGAACACAAGCTCTGTGTTGTAAGTTATCTACTTGGATGAGAAATTAAAGACACATTGGTGAAAAGCAGAATTTGATATGAATCCAGAGGAGAATGTTGATGACTGGAAAGCAATCGGTATTTCTGCTTATTGGATCGGAGACGTCAAGATGTTTACATGTGACGGCATGGCTGGATCCTGTAACCTGAACAGTGTCATTTCTTTCCGTTTGTGGGACGATCAGATTGGATAAAGCTCTACTCATCGACTCTTTCTGGTAAGTAGCACATTCTCGGTTATAACTCCTTACAAAGGATTCGTTTTTATAGCCACTCATGTGCATTATGTGTCGCACTTCGAATCCTGCATCGTTCATGCCTTGTTTGGAGGTTGCACGTAAGCTGTGAGCAGTGTACGAATTTTCACAGTTTGCGTTTTTACAAATATCAGCCATAAAACGTGTAAATTGGTATTTTTTGATAGGAACATTAGTGTACCAAATTTCCTCTGCAGTTGGTGAGGATAACACTTCTTTTGAACATCTGTTAAAAAGAAATGTTGCAGTAGGGTCCATCTTTGAGAGGTATTGTTTTAAAGAGTTGACTGGACAGTGTTCCCCTGCATTTGGTACTGCATACATTCTTTTTTCCTTAGGGGTTTCAGACACATTTATGCCCCCTTGCCAGTTTTTTTGCTTAGTGTCATGAGACAAAACAGCGTACTCGTGTCCATTTTCATCGAAGTGAAACTCAAATGAGTTGACCTTTAGTTGCTCGTGAAACTCGAGTCCCCTGCTGACAAACTGAATGGCGATTAAAAACCAAATGCGGAATCTTAAAGACACAGGAGTTGAATCTCCATAAAGGTATGCTGAAATTTTATCAAGATCATTTTTTGGAATAACAGCCTTGTGCTTTGATGGTCGAGAGAGTCCTTGTAAATTTTTTTTTTAGTTTTCCGTCTAAGACATTATTGCTACCCCTAAATTCTCTGTCACGCACTATGTCAAACTGACGTCCTATGTCGTGAACATGGCGATTAATTGCAGATCTTATGCTCTTGTATACAGTCTCGTTTAAAGTCATCATTTCGTAAATTCTATGGTCGATACAATGACATTGTCAGCAAATACAATTTATCATTGAATGAAATGCTGACTGACGTTTTTCATACCAATTGTTAGTCCATTATTTATACACTGAATTGACCACGGATTTTTTCCGTTATTTCCTGATTATGACAACGAGCACACGGCGGGTGTGACCGGTCGGCGGGGGATGCTCGCTCCTCCATGGCACCTGATCCCACCTCTGATGTTTCGGAGGTCCGTGTTTGCTCTGCTCTTATTTTGTATGTTTGTTTAATGGACGTTGAGATTGAATACTGTTCGTTATTTCCATATCCTTCTCATGTTTTACTGTGGTATTCTGTTGCTTGTTCTTTTGTCATATATTGTGACCTTTTTTCATTGGGTTTAGGTGTAGCCTCTGCATAAAATTTTTCAAGTCTATTATTCAGCTCAGTAGGGGAAATGTTATGGAAATCAGTTGGCAGTCCCAAAGCTTCAACACTCCATTCTACAAAAAAAGGGGGACCTTTTTTTATTATCAATTTATCAAGTTATACTTCATATAAATCCAGATAGCTTAATGGTAAAGCAACCATGCAATTTGTGTGGGGAATTTGGGTTCAAGTCCCAATCTGGATATTAAAAATGTTGTTGACTTGAAATAATTTACATTTACAATAGTAAAAATATGCATTTACCTTGAAACAAATTTATTCCCCACTTTGTATTATATTTTGTAGCTTTTGACTGCCTTCTTTCTTTCAATTCTTGAAGTTCTGTTTCATTAACAGTTTTGAATCTTTTTTTCCTGCATTCTGAGTCTGGGTCTCTAAGCATGGTTTCCTCTGTTTTATAGGATTTAAAACCATTTCCATCTCTTCCTCACCCTCCTTTCTAGATGTTGATACATCAAGTTCCCCATAAAAGATTTGATGAAGGGTTTCCCAATCAATTTCTTCAATTTCAACATTTTCTCCTACCCCCAGCATGTCAAAATCTGCCATTGTGCAGACGACAACAAATCAAAACTCATATAGTTCCATCTTATTATTGCCTTGACTATTGATTTACATAATTATTGTGTAATTTACTATAAGATGGCACAAAAAGAAAAATGAAAAGAATTTCTTTAAATATTTTTATTGTTTTTTTATAAAATGATTAACATTTTACTATAAACTCTAATGTAAACAGGAAGTCATGGTAAAAAGTAGTTCCGGCTCACTGTTGCCAAGGGGGCGTGGCTCCATACCTACATACTTTATATTTTATAAAACACAGTCATGTGACTGTTTAGTCCAATCAAATTTCACTATTTAGACTAAATTTAATTATAATTCTATCAATAAAGGAATTGTAAAGATATAATTTTTAGGTCACCTGAGTAAACTCAGGTGACCTATTGCTATCCGTTTTCGTCCGTCGTCGTCCGTCGTCCGTCGTTCGTCGTGTGTTAACATTTGAACATTTTCAGCTTCTTCTCTGCAATCACTGAACCAATTTCAACCAAATTTAACACAACGCATCTATGGGTAAAGGGAAACAAAAATTGTGAATTTCATTATCCCTGCCCCCTGGGGCCTGAGGGGAGGGGCCAAAACCACTAAAATTAATGCAATCTTTAAAAATCTTCTTCTTTACTCCTGGACATCAAGCAGTCAAACTGTTAGCATGATTGTATTCAGCATTAAGTCCTTTACCAAATTGTGAAATTCATGGCCCTGAGGTTAGGAGTTTTAGTGCTAGGGCGGGGCTAAATAAGTACATAGTGAAAATGCATTATTTCTTTGGAAATCTTCTTCTCTACTCCTGGGTATTAAATAAACCAACTAACTACATAGTTATGATGAGCAAGAGTGCCTCTACCAAAATTGTGAATTTTATGGCCCCAGGGTCAGGGGTTCTGGTGTTAGGGCGGGGCTCCATTGATTATATATAGTGAAAATACATGATTTCTTTGAAAATCTTCTTCTCTGCCCCTGGGTATCAAATATACTAACTAAGTGCATAGTTATGATGAGCATGAGTGCCTCTACAAAAATTGTGAATTTTATGGCCCCAGGATCAAGGGTTCTGTTGTTAGGAGGGGGGGCTCTATTGTTTATATAGTGAAAATACATGAATTCTTTGAAAATCTTCTACTCTGCTCCTAGTTATTAAATAAACCAACTAAGTGCATAGTTATGATGAGCAAGAGTGCCTAAACCAAAATTGTGAATTTTATGGCCCCAGGGTTACGGGTTCTGGTGTCAGGGCGGGGCTCTATAGATTATATATAGTACAAATACATGAATTCTTTGAAAATCTTCTTCTCTGCTTTTCGGTATTAAATAAACTAACTAAGTGCATAGTTATGATGAGCAAGAGTGCTTTTACCAAAATTTTGAATTTTATGGTCCCAGGGTCAGGTTTTCTGGTGTTAGGGCAGGGCTCTAGTGATTATATATTGAAAATACATGATTTCCTGGAAAATTTTCTTCTTTGCTCCTAGGAATTAAATAAACTAAGTACATAGTTATGATGAGCAAGAATGCCTCTTTTAAAATTATGAGTTTTATGGCCCCAGGGTCAGGGGTTCTGGTGTTAGGGGGCGGGGCACAATTGATTATATAATGAAAATACATTAAATCTTTGAACTTTTTTTCTTTGTCTCTGCGTAAAAAGCAGATGAACTACCTTTATAGTTATGATTAGCAAGGCCCTAATCTTGCAGAATTGTGAATTTCAAAGCCCCAGGGTCAGGGGTGGGGTGGGGGCTCTACTTATATACTGAAAACGAATTTATTGTTTGAAATCTGCTCTTTTGTATTTATAAAACATTAATTTATTTTTTGATATTAAGGGTGCCTTTTTGAAATTTGTGCAATGTGTGGACCTAGGGTCAGGGGTTTATGTCACAGTGTTAGGGGCACTACTGGTTAGTTGGAATGCATTTCTGTTCCCCTACCCTGCATATGGGTATTCAGTAACCAAGCTAAGCAACTGTTAAGTGTATTGTTATGATGATTAATGGTGCCTCTTTCAAAATTGTAAATGTCATATAGCATCTGGCTTAAAACATGAATCAAATTCAATAACTGGAAAATTGTTGCATAATGCTCAGGTGACCTATAAGGCCCATGGTCCTCTTGTTAATTTGAATGATCGATCCTATTATCTTTAAGAAACGAAATACCATTTAATGCATAGAGGGGTTTATCAAAATAAAATTAAAAAATGCGTTTTTTTAATTGATGATTCTGTGATAAGGTTAAGTTGACAAATAATACTCCTGGGGAATAAAAAACAACATATTAAGTCATTTGATAAAATATTTCAATGGATTTGCAACAATTATTGAAAATATAATAAA